GGCTGCCTTTCAAGAATAGGTTAATTAAGTCTCCAAGTGTTGGTCAAGTATATGAGATTTGGATAATGACACTAATTAGAACTATCATATTTTGCCTCGTAGTTTTTAAGTTAGTAGTGCCAAACATGAAAAGGGTTAAAACACGTAACTACTTATTTATAAAATTAATTTTAGCACTTAAAAGTGCTTATCAACTATTTTCAATCAGCTAACTCAAATAGACTCTTATTTGTTCTTTTTTTTTAATCAAGTAAGAGATTTCATTGATACTAACAAGGTCAACTTGGCCGTATACAAAACATATACCAAAAAAGGAGAAACCTACAAAATATAATTCTCAAGACACCCAATCCTCTATATAAAATAGGAACTACATAGCTACACCAAAAGAAAATAAAAGATCGGAGACTACTCCTCAATCGAGCAAAGCTCAGCTCAGCTCCTATTGGTTGATCTTTCCCATTATGTAAGGGTATCAATTATAGTAGTGCCTGGGTAGATAACTTAAACAACACAGTGGACACTGATAAAGTTTGTATTACACAACTATTTCAAAGCTAAGTTGCACGGACTCTTCATATTTTATGTTGCACCCCTGTCCGATTCTCCAAAAATACACTTTTTGGAGAATCCGACACACATCCGTTGACATTTTTGAAGAGTCCGACCAACACAGCTTTGAAGTAAACAAAATGTTTATCATATAGATATTCATTATCAAAAATACCACATATATATACACATTAGACTTCATATTAGCTTTGGATTTTGCCTGTACATCAGAGATACAAATACATATGATGAGCTAATGATATTTATTAAGAGAGTCTGAAGCATTTAAGAGGAGCTAACTAACATCACTCAATATGTGACCTAATGGTTAATGAAGTGCATTCAAAATCATGAGATCTCAAGTTCAAAACTCAACAAAGGCGAAACGTGGAATTCTTTGATACACTACTATCAAATTCAAATACTCCTTCCGTCTACTATTACTTTGTCCAATTTAGAAAATCAATGTATAATTTATTACTTAGTTCATAATTTACCTTGTTATTAACTATATAGTGATTATAAGAGGGAGTTGCTCGGAAGAAGGGGTAAAAATTGAATTTATTATATTCAAATTGTCATTCTACTGATTTTTTTAACAGATGTGTCAAGTCAATACTGAACAAGTAAAAATAAATGAGAGAGTACTTTTTGTCAAACAATTTTACCTCTTTTGAAGAAAAACCCCCAAATATTAGAAAGCTTCCAAAACTTCAATTTCACCAACTTACAACCCAAAAAAGCTTCTATTTGCTACAGGTGCTAGTTGATTTTGGGCGGGAGATTCCCGGGTTGTTTTCAATAATATATGAAAAAAGAAAAAAAAAACTTAAAATATGCAAAATTGAACAAAAATGTGTATTTTTATTGTCTTCTTCTTACTATTGATACTTTAACTAGGTAAATTGCCCGCGCTTCGCGCGGTGGTGAACTACGTCAATAATCTACTTCTGAACATTTGATAATATAAGTGTTTTCGAGTGGATACAACCCTACGATAAATTGTCAAGAATATTTTATCCAAAGATGAAATGAAATATTTTTTTAATCTTAAAACCAAAAGATTTGATTCTAAGTGTTTATGCTATTTTGTTATTAATTCTTCATTTTACTATAGTTATTCATCACCATAGTCTTTAGAAAAGATATGTAATTGTTTCATTGTCTATATTTGTATTTTCAAAAAGTGGTACAACCATTTTAATTCATCAATTGCGAGAGTTTTTCTCCTATTCAAGGCCTTTACATACATAATCAAAATATTATACATCTTATATAATTAGTTGTGTACTTGATAAGTTAATTAAATGTTAAAAACACATCTCTTGGAGTTCAATGAAATAACGTATGTCGCTCAAACAATTTGGATTAAATGATTTCCTGGCAAGTCCCTGTTCAAAATCTTTCGCAGTCGATGAGACTATTTTGATAGCCAAAAGGCATATTTTGTTCTTTATCTTTCAATCAATATGGGTAAAACTTTTTTTTTTGTGACTTTTAATCTAATGTTTATAAGGAGATAAATATTTCATTAATATTTGATTAATATGGATTCATCCTACTTTGAGGGGTAATTCATTGACTGCAATCCAACATTTGAACTCCAAACTTTTGATTAAGGTTGAGTACAATACTTACCATCCCACTACATTCCTTTATTTTTTGGATGTAATTAATCGATTGAATGCCTCGATAAGATAGAAAGTTGAATAACTAAAACTCCAAGGTAGTGTGGAACCACCATAACTTCTGAACACTCAAAATTAAAGTCCCTTCTTGGACATCCCGTAGATCTCTTAGACACTAAAAACTCTATAAAGATCGAAGTCATTTATTTTACAAGTTTAAGAATTCTAATAAACATGACACCAATAGTCTAATGATTACATCAAACTCTTGATTAACATATCTTTACTTCAACATAATGATCAAAAGCATAAACATAAACAACAAAGTTTAAAACATGTACTTAAAAACAACAATTAATAACATAAACATAAATTAATGACTGTAAAAAACATACCAGGATCTGTAACAATAGAAAGGAAAAAATTGAGCCCACTGAAAGCACATTGTCCCTTTAAGGAAATTCTTCTCCTCTAGTACTCGAGGTTTAAAGGAATAGATTCTCTCAGGATAGAACGATTGTATTCACCAGTGTATTGATACAAAAAACAATGGTGTCAGTGAGCCGCCACTCAACAGGAGCAAAAGTACACGAATATTTAATTGTGCAGAAGAAGAAGAAGTCCAGAATTTTCGTTGTTTTAATAAATGCTTATTGTGCCTTATCGGAAAGGTCACAACTTTTCATAAAGTCGCAACTCTTCATAAAAGTTGCAACTTTTCATAAAAGTCGCAACTCTACATAAAAGTCGCAACTCTTTGTAAAACTCGCAACTATTCGTAAATGTTGCAACTTTTTATAAAAATCAAAACTTTTTATAAAAGTCACAACTTTTCATGAAAGGGGAGGCTATTTTTGAAAATAAATAAATTAAAAGGGAATCCTGATTTGTGGTGGCGCCATGTAGGCGGGCCTAGGGTTCTCTTTTTTATATATATATGATTTTAAAATGCCCTATTATAACTGGATTAAGAAAATAATCATGGAATGTCTATTTGTTTTTTGTTTTTTAATGGTCATTTGTTTTTTTTAAGTGAATAAATAAGCTCATGCTTGTTCGATCTAAAATAGATAATCTTACTAGAGTTGTTCAAAACCGAACTGAAATCAATAATTTGAACCGAAAAAAAGTTATTAATTTATCAGGGTTATTGGTTTAGCGGTTTTGATAACGGTTTTAATTTTTTTTGTTACCGGGTTATTGATTCTTAACGGTTTGAGGTTTTTTCTTAATGGGTTAACCGATAACCCGATAGTAAATTAAATAATTATATTTATACAATTTTGTATATAAAGTCTTTGACTTAGAGTTTTGTTTCTTACTTTTATTTCTGGTTTTCTCAAACTTTTGGTTATTCTACAATGTAAAAGTGTTTGTTTTTTAGCAAGATGTAACTTGTGAACTCATATACATGGTTCATTTGGTTTGTCACCTTGTTTCTAAAGTGATTTTCAATGTGTTTTTTTTGTGTCAAATCTTAATGGTTAAACATAACCATCAATAACCGATAAGCCAAGATCTTAATGTTCTATAACGGTTTAACATCTCTACAAATCGATAAACTTCAAAACTGAACCGACCGATACACAACCCTTAGTCACATCATAATAAAAGTGTATTTGAGTAGCTATCATTATCAATAACTCGTTTGATAAGTATTTTTGTGAAATTATAATTTCGAACCTAACCCTCAAGCATAAGGGATCTTTTTGTCACTTTCTCAATATTCACCACTAATCTTATTTTATGATGATTAGCGACAAACTATCACAATAATAGTAGTATTTATAACTTCAATTATGTTATTGTTTCAATATATTATTATATATATATTGAGTGGAAACAGGATCCCATATTCACACTGCTAATTAATAAGACAAAATATAAGGTTTTTAACATGTTTAACTTTTTTGCAGTATTTATAGTATATTATATATGCACATGTATTACCTTGTATTATATCATATCACGTTGAGAAAATGCAAAAAAAAATAGAAAAAATTAAGTTTACACATTATTTAAAGGATGGTGGAATTTAAAATTTTGAAATTGAATTAAGAAATCAAATTTGCGGCAATGTTTTATACACTCTCTCTCCATCCACTTTTTACATGTTAACTATACTAAAAATTATGTCTAAGTTTAAAAAATCAAAGACAATTTATTATTTTATATATATTATCTTATAATTATTAAATAATTATTTTCAATGCATCTCTCAATGAGTGAGATGGCTAAAAATAATAGGAAAATATAGTATTTTATAAAAAAAAAACTAATTGAATAATATAATAAAATTATTATTTTATTTATTATTTTTTATAAATATTTAAAGTCAAATGCGAACAAATAAAAATGAACTAAGGAAGTATAGGTTTTTTCATCCACCTCACCTTGAAATAAGAAATGGTACACCTGCATGTGATGACTTAAAAAAAATATAGTATGGTAGTCCAAAATTGACTATTAATTTCACATAGAACTCTACTTTTCTTTAATATTAAATAAAAAGGAGAAAGATATAAGTTTTGTTTAAAGTTTTTTGCTAGTATTAAAGGTTGGTGTTCTATGTCTATATATACATATATTAAATTTAAAGGTTGGTGTATTGTGTGTCTATATATATATAGTAACAAAAAACTAAGAACAACAAGTGCATAAGTGAGATTTTAAATTTTCCATTCAAAATTAAATATGGCTAATTTTTCAAGATTGATATCAACAATCTCCAAGAAAATTGTGAAACCTTTTTTTCCCACCCCATCAACTCAAAGAATACACAAACTTTCCCTTCTTGATCAATGTATGGGTAATTTTTATATGCCTATTGTCTTATTTTACCCAAAACACCAACTACAACAAGGACCTAAACACCTCTCTAAACTTCTTGAGAACTCATTTTCAAAAGCAATATCATATCATCAACCATGGGTTGGAAGTTTAAGTGACAATGCCACCATCCATTGTGATAACACTGGGGCTGAGTTCTTCGAAGTTGAAGTTAATTGTCCTATGGATCAAGTCGTTCATCACCCAGACTTAGCATTTCCTCCAGGGCTACCCTGGAGGAATGTTCCTCCAGCACATGATGGTGGTTGTTTGAGCGTAGCTCAACTCAGCCACTTTGAGTGTGGAGGAATAGCAGTCAGTGTCTGCATGTCACATAAGGTGGGTGATGCACGTAGTGCATTCTTCTTTCTAAAGGATTGGGCTACATTAACTCGAAAATATCCAAATGGAGAATCAACATGTGCCCCTTATTATGTCCAAGATTCATTAATGCCATCACGACCTGATGGTCCTCTAGATTTTCCGGTTATGGTTGAGCCAAATACACAAGACACTATCGACCTTGAAAAAAGGTTTTTCTTATCTGAATTCAAGATAAGAGCCCTCAAAGCTTTCGTTTCTTCTGATAAATCATCAACCGTTCAAAATCCAACAACAACTGAGGTTGTAAGTGCACTTTTTTACAAATGTGCAGCAACAGCAGGTGCAAACTTATCAAATACTGGTAATAGTAGTAATGATTCTTCATCTCAATTGGTCTTGGTATCAGATTTACGAAAAACAATTCCACCTTCAATACAATCAACCACCACAATAGGAAATATTCTCACCGCGTTCTCCACACCAACATATAACCTAGAAGACCTTAGGTTACCAAAGTTAGTATCTGATATAAGAAAGTCCAAACTCGAGCTTTCTAACAAAGATAATTTCAAAAACAACACATGGATATCAGAAATGTTGGAATACACAAATAAAGTTAATACAAGAGTAGAGGATGCTCAATCGTATCTCCAGAAGAGTTCATGTCACGATGTGTATCGTTGTAGTAGCATATGTAACATGCCATATCAAGATTTGGATTTTGGATGGGGGAGGCCTAGTAGAGCAAGCATGGCAAGTGCTCCATTTAACAATGTGTTGTACTTAATGAATACACATGATCAAAGTAAAGGAATTGAAGTGTTTATCAACTTGAATGAACAACAAATGTCCATTTTTGAACAAGACAAGGACCTTCTCCAATTTGCTACTCATGTTAATGATGATGATGTTCATGATGAGGACGAGAAATATTGCATTGGAGCTTACTAAAATTATTGCAAGTGAAGAAATTGTTCTTACATGTGCATTCATGTCACAAGTGGCTTGTAATTCAATAAGAGAATAAACTTGTATTTGCTATGTTACTAAATTATGTTGTTTATTCTTGTGTAACCCTTTTTGAATTTCTCAACTATACTATATAAAAAAAAAAATTATCTATGGTAAAAGGACAATATAAGGCTTTCACATTATTGTTTGTTGAGTATTATTTTAAGAGGTATTTTTGAGGAAAAATAAATAAATAGATTAAAGATATTTTTAGACTAATAGATGAATGAAAGATATTTATGAAATAACACATTTTTCGCTCTTATTTGGATTGACAGCTATACAATATCACATTCATTAGCTATTATTTTATCAAACTGCTATACTATAGAATACATTTGTCAGCTATTAAAGGGGCTATACAATATATAAAATTCCTCAAAAATTAGCTAAATAACCTAGTCGTATAACATGATCGATCGGTTTTATCCCAAAACTCAATATATTAACCCAACGAATTTTTGACGATTCAAATAATTGATGGTTACTTCTTTGCTTAAAATATAATTCAAGTTAAGGGACAAATTAAATTGATAAATTAAAGTCCCTCTTAAATATTCGATTAAGATGCATGCATCAATAATGACTTTTTTAAGTACACCACCAAAAAATGGACTGATCTTTAATTTTTACCCTTAATCGACTGAACTTATGCCCCCACAAAGGCATAAGTTCCTTAAAAACTGCAGTCATGACAAGGCAAAACTTTAAATATTATGATATGAAAATATAAATTGTCTTGCAATTTCTACTTTTTTTGTGACGATGGGATAAAAATTAAAGACCAACACAAACTAAGGGCAAAACTGCAAATAACCCATCATTTTCAGTACATATTCTGAGAATATGATATTCAAGATAGTTCAGCCCAACTAAACCAAAGTCTTACCAAGGAGTTTTCAACTTTAAAACAGAATCACCTAATACAGTAGCAAGTCTATTAAGAACAAATTGTCAAAAAGCCCATACTATAGTGACTGGAATTTTTAACATATGATAGCAAAAACAGACGCTGGAATTTTGAGGCTCCAGCAACTTCAAAGCATACTTCTACAGCACCCACTAGCAATGTGACCGTCCCCGCCAAATATGACTAAGGTCAGAGGCTGATACCGAGCAAATTAGGAGCGGGATCTTTCTCGAGTTGGAGGTGAAAGGCTGCATTGTAAACAAAATAATATGAGCTTATAAAGCAAGAGAGTAATTTGTTGCAACTGTATCGTAGAGCATAGATAAGCGAGAGCCTAAAAAAGAAAAAGAGTGAATAAGCTGCGAACCTCCTGTGTCGTTCTGGAAGAGGACTTTCTGCGGCAGCATATCTAGGACTACCTACTTCTTCAGGTTTAGACCTTGGGCTACGGCTACGGCCACGATAATCATCGGGGCTATATTTCCCTCTCCTCCCCACCCTAGGGGGACTAGGGCCAGATTCCAGAAGTCCTTCCTCTGGTGGACTGTGCACCTCACCATTTTCAGAACCGGCTCTCAGCCTTCGAGGGTTTGGGCTATGGCCATTTCCATGATCAGGGTTCCTCTCCTTTCTCATGTTTGGACTACGGCCACTGCCATACTCAGAATCCCTTTCCCTATGATTGGGATTTGGACTAGAGCGACGACCATAATCAGGGCTTGACCTACCTTGACGGATTGGACTTGGGCTACGGGCCCGTCCACGACCATAATCAGGACTCCCCCTCTCTCTTCCATAAGGACTCCGAGATCGGCCTCGGTCATAACCTCTCTTAAGACCCCTATCGCGGTTTCTATCAGGGCTAAACCCATTTCTCCTGTCATCATCATCTTTATTTGCATATTCAACTGTAATGACTTGATCCATCAATTTACTGCAACAGAAAGAAAAAGACGAACAACAAACAATGGTCAATTATGGAAGTGGAAAACTGCGAAAAAGTCTGATCAAAATAACCACATTACAACAAATCAACAAGAAAATACCTCATGTTTGTAGCATCCAAGGCTCTAGTAGCATCCTCCTGAGTTTCATATTGAACAAATGCAAAATTCCTTCTAATCCTTATATTGAGTATTTTTCCATATGGATCAAAGTGCCTCTCTATATCCCTGCTCCTAGTACTATATGGATCAAAATTTATGACAAACAAAGTCTTTGAAGGTTTGACACTAGATGAAGATTTCCTTGAAGTCTCTGGCCTCCTACCATTACGCTCTTCCTGCATCATAGCCATTTGAGAACACAAGTGAATTTGAGGATTTTTTAAGGGGAGAGATGGATTTCTGGACCAAAAAAAGGATTACCTTTGACCATTCGATGCGAAGTCTGCGTCCCTTTCTGCCAAATTCTATACGGTCAAGTCCGCGAATAGCATCCTCTGCATCTCTTTCATCATCCATGTACACAAAAGCAAAACCTGAAACCCACCCCCAAGAAACACCATAGATTAAATAAAAACTTAAAGCAAAATGAGAACAAGACTCCAGTGAAATATTCTTCAGTATTAAAATATAGAAGAAGAGATTCCATCCAACAGAGATGTAAACCATCTTGACTTAACATCTCAATTATAAAACCACTCTGTCAAATCTATAAATTTTTTACGAGTAAAATCAGCAACAGACCTTTGGTGGTGGACTAACAGATTTCAAGTAAAGGTGCATGTCACATGAGGGAACAATGTAAAGAAAGTGCCTTCTCCATTTTATCTGCTGCCTCAGCATCGAGGTCGGCATTGTGAGTTGTGACTAGTCTGTAAAATGAAGGCTGGGGAAAATTCTGGATTGGAAAGCAATAATGACGGAGGAAAACATATGATTGTGATGCCATGATGGATCAGAGAGCTCTTCTTGGAGACAAGAAGAGAACACTTGTCACAGCTAGGAAATGAAATGAGACTCCATCCATCAGCCATGATAGTATGGACATTGCAATGTTATCCTGCGCCAAAGAATAATTGAGTATGGTGGTTCATACTTAAAAACACTTCTTTGTAAACATATCCTAACACCCATAAAAAGCTACATCTTCTGTTATTGAGTCGAATGATCTGAACAGATCTTCGGCCCAATGCAGTCACAATGTGAAGAATGATCACGGTGTCCCAAAGCAGACCAAATTTCAGTTATTCAAGTCCTTCGACAGTTGAAACTATGGGATAAGTGCTGGTGAGGACTTCTGAACTCTAGAATCATCAATACTCCGAAGAAAATGAACTGCCAAGTACATCAAGATTTGCCATCATGAATCAACTGCTTCGCCACCACATCAGCTTTACTGGTTGCTAGTTATCAAAATATCTAGAGCCACAGACATCATAGAACCTAGACGAAGCTTACCAGGTAATAAGTTATATCAGAACTATCATTCTCAGATTCGATACAACATCGTGTACTGTATGTCAACGCGTGAGCAATGGGTGGAACAATCACTTTGCACAACTCAGTTCATGCCTCAGTTTTGCAGTTGCATGGAGGTAAAACTCTCAAATAAAAACTGTCCTGACCACTGGAAGTGAAAATTTCCAGCATCCTACTAAACGGTCTATTCAGGCATCTTGCTGGAGGATGATTAGATGTATGATCCAAACTCACCCGCAATATAGGAGGATCATATATTAAATTCACAAAGTAAAAAGAAAAAAAAATAATATATATATATATATATAGAGAGAGAGAGAGAGGGAGAAATAAGACCACCGCAGTAGGAAAGCTCTAATTGAAGTTCGTTAGCCATATAACCAATGCATCTCACATAAAAACTTTTTTTGGTATAGGTAACATGTATAATCTTGTAGGAATGAGATTCAGGACAAGAAAGGTCGATGTGGATAGATAGTTCTGGACACGAAGTAAACCCAACCAGAAGACCAATCAGCACCTCCAAATAGATAGCACAATATCAAGTAAGAAATAACACATAAAACCAAGACTTTCGAGGCTTACCAGATTTCATATCCACTCTATCCACTTTCCCATATCTTCTGAAAAGCCTCTCCAACTCTGACTGTCTGGCATTATACTCAACATTCCCACAGAAAATTGGCCTCATCCCACCTGAGTAGAAGATCTCAAGACTCTTTCCACCCTGAGATCAGACAAGAAAATTACTCGTGATCAGGGAAGAGAAACAAATTAATTTAGTCCAACTCCAGCAAACATAATGTACTTCATCAGTACAGGTACAACAAGAGCCACACACACATCATAAGTAAACCACGCGAGAAACATTGTGCCTCCTTTTAAGTACTTGTTTAATATGATTAGTAAAGTAAACATGATAAAATGTTTGACAATTTAGCATAATAATTGCTAGATATGTTCCACTTAAAATGCTAACTTAGTACCAAACGCTTAAGACAATCAATAAATAGATATAGCATTCTGTACTTCTAATGTATTACAATTACTTGTTTCAAAAGTTAACATAGCCAAAGAGTTTAGGAATTGTGGCTTTTCCAAGGACAATTTAGATATATATGGTCATTGTTTCAAGAGAATGGAATGACAGAGGGAGATGATACTTGTACAATTACAATCGAATGATTGAAATGGAGAAACGCTACCAAAGCATTATGAGATAGCAAGATGACCGAAGTGAAGGGTAAGTCCTTCAGAAAAGTTACAAGACCGGTAATGTTATCTGGTAGTGAATGTTGGACCGCTAGAGTCCAACATATCAACAAGATGAATGTTGCAATCATACAAGATTAGATAAGATTAAAAATGGACACATTTGCCATATGATGCAAGTAGCACGCCTGAGGATAAAATGAGAGAATATCACTTGAGTTGTTTGGTCACATCCTACAAATGCACCGGTGACTAGGTGTCATACTATGGTGAGCAAAGGTGTTAAAAGGATATGAGATAGACCTAAATATCACATAAACAGAAATTACGTTTAGAGACCTACAATTTCTTGAAAACAATTTAGTGTAGCTAAAGATATGGCACAATGGACTACTAGTTGATTTTGAATCTATTGCTTTTCTTCAAGTATTTTGACCTTATTTAGGATCAACCTTGTGAATCCTTTAAGATGGATTTGATCAATTTGAACATGGTACTAAATAATTTGCATGTTAACATAGACTTAGTGTTTCTCTAATTCTCGCACTTATCTCTATACGACACACAAGTCTCTCCACACACAACATGCTTAAACGAAATTGTTTTTTCTTCCACCTAAATATTTCCTCTCCGTTTTTTATACTCATGGTGTCTGGGCTAGTTTTCGCTCACCTCAACTAATTCACAGGATAACCGCCACCTCCCATCAGCCAAAGATACTAGAAATTGTCCACCAATGCTAGAGCATATGGAAAGAAACAACGTAGTATTTTTTATCTCTGCTGGGATTTTGAGCCTAAGACCTCATAGTTCTCAACCCACTTCATTGACCACTAGGACAAACACTTGGGTGCTCCACCTAATATATCCTCATGTTATGCTAAAACCTTAAAGTTACACTCCCATCTTCTTGTGTAGATATCAAGCACCAAAATGCTAGCAGACAAAGCTGACAAATCTCTCTTTTTTCAATGACGGTGGTGTCCAAGCTACCTACACAAACCTCAACTATTCCACCAAGTACCAGCTACCTCACCGAGGCATAGAGAGGAAAAGAAATCACCAAGTAGTATCTTTTGCCGAACATGATACTAGGGTTCTCCTCCCACTTAATTGACCATAAGGCCGCACCCTTGCGTACCCATAACTGAATACACCATTCATCAAACCCATTAACGTTTGGGTAGGTTGAAACACCCCACGGTCAACTTTAACAACCCTAATCTACAACTTTCAGTTTCATTTTTACTTATATAATACTTCAAGCATCAACATCCTTCACTTTCAATCTTAACACCAACACAAACAAATCAATTTCCTAACCTAAAAATTACAGATCCCCAACAAAAACCTTAATTTTGTTTTGTTAAAAAAAAATCATTTAACCAAACTAACCAACAACTAAAAATTTCATTCCTCCACATAGAATATATACCTTGATAATAAAAAAAACTCAGATTCAACATTTCCCTATACACTTTACTGATTTCTACAAAATTAAAACAGATCTGAGAAAAAAACAGTATAAATTAGAAGATCTGATTGATAAATTAGAGAGCGATGAAGAATTGTACCTCTTTCGAAAGTTGAAGAAATCGTGAAGTACAGCGAGAGCTTCGAGGCTGAGTGAAGATATCTTTTTTGACGCTATCTTACAGTGTTATAAACAGCAGCGGCGAGTTTTTTTATTGACCAAAATACCCTTCTTGTAATAATTTTATAATCTATAATTTTTTGTCTTATTTTATCGAAAATATTTAGTTGAAAATGAAAAAGTACAGATTGTTTTTAAAAAAAGGATAAATGGTCAAAAATGCTTTTAAACTATTTGAAAGGAATAAAAATGTCCTTCGTTTATAGTTTGACTCAAAAATGCTCTTACCGTCAATATTTTGGTTCAAAAATGTACTTAAACTATGCAAAAGGAACAAAAATGCCCTCCGTTTGTAATTTACTCCAAAAATGTCCTTATTGTTATTTAATGTGTCAAAAATGCTCATTTCCAAATAAATATATATTTTTTAACACATTCTTTTTCTAATTATGTTTTTCTAAATTAGCAAATGTTTATCTTACTTTAATTCAGAAAAAAAAAATATTTCATATTTTATCATCATTATTTTCTATCATTATATAAATATAAATTAATGATGGATATAATATGATCTTATATATATATGGCATATATTATCTATCGAAAGGGTATGTGAAGTTATTCTATTTTAATTGATAAAATGAGATTAAGAAGAAAAAAAATTTCCTACATTTTTATTTCTTAAAGTGATTTTACAAGAAAGAAAACAAGAATAGTGTTCTTTAATAATATTGTAATTAGAAAGAAGATGTGTTTAAAAAGAAAAATAATATATTTATTTGGAAAATGATATTTTTGACCTATTTTATAACTATAAGGGCATTTATGGACAAAAGTATTAACTGCAAGGGCAATTTTGAACCAAAGTATTGACAGTAAGGGCATTTTTTAGCCAAACTATAAATAGAGGGCATTTTTGTTCCTTTCACATAGTTTAATGGCATTTTTTACCCTTTCCCTTTAAAAAATAATGTAATTTTAATGTGTCATATAATTTGGCAGCGAAATGATCGGATGGACATATCATTTTATTTGTATGACTTCGTATTCTAAACTCTTTTGCTTAAGACTTTGTATTCTAAACCCTTTTGCTTAACTCTTTAGCAATTAAACCATTAAGCTCAACGAAACACATACTTTAATTGGCAAAGTGGCAAAGAGTTAAGTAGAAGGATCCAGAATAGGAACTCATAGTCTACTATCATTTTTTAAAAACGAATTTAAAAAAATGTCACATAACCAAATGGAGAAAGTATTGGATTTAATATCGTATATAACCAAATGTTATGATGGGACTGTGGATATACCCTCCATTCTTAATTAAAGGGTTTCACGTTCGAGCCCTTATATGAAGTCGTATGTATCCCAAATTGAGACTTCATGACATGAACCCAAATTACTCTAACCTCAAAACGAATACCGAAAATCAGATGAAAATGACATACTAGCTTAAGCAAAATGTAATATATTGATTCATTAAAATTTAATGAATCAATTTCTGAGACGTTAGAACAAATCATAATCCCAAAAGTACCATAAAAAGAAGTACATCAAGTAAAACATTGATTTGTCTCTAGCACCAACAGTTTTTGTTGCTATTAAACTGTCACTTAAATATTTCAACTATTGAACTAAATGTGTTTTACTCATCTTCAAAAGGACTTGAAGAACACGCCAACAACAAAAACAGCACCATATCAAGCGCAATCCCACAAGTGAAGCCTGGAAGGGTAAGATGTACGCAGACTTTTACCCTACCTTTGTGGGAAACTTGAAGTACGCACCAAATCCAAAAAAAAAAATCACCCTCCTTAGGTTGCTGAAAAAATGTAACAGAAAATTTATAGTTAGTGTACATTTGACATCTAATAATTCATAAATTCAATGTTTGAAATGAAATTAACTAAAACTAAAGAATTAATACCTGAGTAGTAGGTCTGGCCAAACTCCCCATCAACCTTGGGTCAGCATAGCCTGCGTGAATCATTTCTAAATAAATTTAACAAAAGAAGGATATGATAGGACATTATGAAGTTGAGATACGTCAACCTCCAAGATTAAGTAAATTTCAACGTTTTTTGTGTACTTTTGCCAAGGTGTTTTCGAAAATAGTTCTCCTAGAAAGTAACAATGTTGGCTAATCAATATGAAAAACACTTTTCTCAATAATAGAGCAGCAGTTTGTGTTTGGTCAAACTTTCAAAAGTGAATCCTCCTCAAAAACACTTTAATTTCCCTTCAGAAGTTTTGTCAAGCACCTCAACTCTATAAAATAAGCAAGGCCTCCACAAGCTTTGGCCAAACAAGCTATAAGTTGGTCATTTGCAAAAACAGATTTAGGATTTAAATACATCCAGTTGGATGGTGCAAATGAGAACCTACAATGAGCAAAACAATGCATTGCAGCACTCATTCTTTATATGGATGATGAAAAAGAAACTTGCCTTGAATGGTATTTGATTAAATCATTGCAAATAGTCCTCCCTTCTCCATGTCCTGATTAAAACCACCATCAAAGTTGACATGAGCCTCATCTTCATTGTTTTGCTACATACATGGTGATGATGTGAAAAGTAAATATTATAAAAAGGATCATCCCCCAAATAGTTATGAGGATCAATTATGAGCTTCAACAAGTATATTCAACTCTGAGAAAAATTTAAGTTGCATTAATTTTATGATGTAATATCTAGATCTCTAAATTCAAATTCATTCCCTTCTAGCTTTCTTGGTCTTCCTTTGGGTGCAAAACTAAAATCTCCTGGAGTTTGGAATGGTGTCATAGAAAAGGTTGAAAGGAGATTGGCAACTTGGCAATCACAGTCCTTGGTAGCATTCCCACATACTTCATTTCAGTTTTCACTATACCCTATGCCTAGTGCAGTGTTGAAGCAGATAGACAAATGGAGAATTTTCTTATGGCCTATGGGAGGGTAATTGTCTTTTCATTGGTAAAGTAGGTCAAAGTCACTCAGCCAAAATCACAAGGGGATCTTGGAATAAAAAATTTGAGTCTACACAACAAGAGCATGCTAATGAAATGGTTATCGAGATATGGTCATGAAGATACAACACTATGGAGGACGGTAATTGATGCCAAGTTTGGAACCCACAGTCATTGGTATTCTAAAACAGACACAGGAATTCATGGAGTTGGGATATGGAAACATTTTATTTTATATGGAGAAAGAAAAAGGTAGTTGGCCTATGAAAACATATTAGTAGCCACCAAGCAGGCTTTTTCAAGAATATCTCCTATAAAGTGACAATGAATCTCAAACAAAATTCTGGAAGGATAAATGGCTTGGCAACAATGCTCTTAAACACTCTTATCCCGGACTACTCCTGATAGAAACCAATAAAGACCTAGAGTCATATGTCATACAGAGAAAGATAATTCTTGGAGCCCTCTATTCAGAAGGAACCTTTTGATACGGGAACTAAATGACCTCCTCACATTATTAGCCACTCTGAAACAGTACACAGTTGAAGGACAGCACCGAGACAGAATGGTATGGGGGAACTCCATAAATGGGCAGTTTACAGTCAAGGACAACTACAATATCATGTGCTCTTAAAATTGTATGATTGACAAGTGGCCTTGGAAGCATGTCTGGAAGATCAAAACAACTCCAAAGGTCACCTGCCTCACCTGGTTTACTTTAAATGAAGCATCTCTAACACAGGACAATCTCAATATAGGAAAAACTGCCTTAGTCAATAGATGCTATAAGTGCCTATAGGATTCAGCAAGTGTCAATCATCTGCTTCTACCTAGCCCATTTGCAGCAGTATCTGGAGTTTTTTTTCTGTTTATTTTCAGGCTACAGTGGGTCATTCCACGTTCTACCAAGGATGTTTTCACAAGTTGGACTTTTTGAAGAGTTGACAAATTCATCAAGAAGATCTGGAGAAGGATTCCAGCAGTAATTTTTTGGTGCGTCTACAATGAGAGGAACCACAGGTGCTTTGATGGGATTTCAACTCCAACTCACTCACTGAAATTTAGATGTCTAGTTCAGTTGTTCAGTTGGTACTATAACTCCACTGTAAATAGTATTGACAGTATTTTGGACTTTGTGAACTCCTTGGTTTTAGTTTAGACTTTATTGTAATGGAGCTAACCCACTTTTGTACCTTTTTGCTCACATAGCATCTTACTGGTGGTTTTCAATGACAACTTTTTACTTCATTAAAAAAAAGTTGATCTATAAATAGTATTCTTAAATCGTTCCATATCTACTTTAAAATTGAGAGAAGAACAAGTTCAAACTTGAAATTCGAAAATACATGATTATCAGACAATAAGGAAGAGTATAGTTTTTACTTTTGATTGCATAATTGCAAAGAATAAAGAAAAATGCTCAAAAAATATATACCTGATGAGGTTGATCATTCCCTTGATTCATGGAAGAAGCACTAAGATCACCAATGCCTTGTGATCCTTGCATAGCACTAACATTGTGAAAGACAGAAAAGTTACGAACTGGATTGAGCACAACATCAACTTCTTTCCTGGAAACATCATTAACAAATATAGATATAGCTTTAAGCTAAGATTAATGCCTGAAGAAGTGGTTATTAGGTGAATCATACGTACTTATTCTTAAGATGTTGCAGACTGCCTGTCCGATAAACTGTAGTGTGAATCAATAAGCTGGGGACACTACACTGCACTCCAAAATTCTTTTGATGAAATTGCCTATGTTTACCAAGCGTTCCAGATGCAATGGTCGATTGATTAGCCCTACTAGCTAAGTTTATGTCAGGAACTTGGATACTAGAGCTTGCATCAGTAACTCGGCGCAAGTAAATACGATATTTCTGCAAAGTTATAACAAATTGCTTGAATGAATGGAGGAACCGATGATTAGGACAGAACAAATTAAAAGCGCTACCTAAGTTTTAGTAATGATGATTTAGAGTCAGCAATTCTGTCATCAGCAAACAAAGTTGCTAAAGTAAGGAAGCAGTTTATAGAAGTACTAAGTCAAAGACAAATGCAGCTACCAGTATCCCTGCTATTCAACCCAATGTCGTCAAAGAGGGACACATTTTGAATAGTAAATTAGAGAGGAGTTCTCCAAGCACTAAAAGGAATAGAATACATAAAAACCCCAGGACATGATGGATTTAATGTCTTATTCTTCAAAAAGACATGGTCAATAATTGGAGAAGAAATAAAGATGCAGTACTAGAGTTTTTCAGAAGACAGAAACTTTACAAACCTGTGAATTGTACCAGTGTGAAACTCATACCAAAAGTAAAGAAATCCAACCAATGTAAGAGAATTCAGACCTTTATCCTGTTGCCCTATCCTATACAAAATTATATCAAAGATAATCACTACAAGACCAAAGGAAATCATGTCTCAGATAGCATAATACTAAGTCATGAGCTGACCAAAAGGTATGGAAGAAAAGGGATGTCTCCAAGAAGCATGGTCAAGGTGGATATGCAGAAGACATATGATTCAGTGGAGCAGGAATTTACGGAGCAGGTTCTCACGGCCCTGAACTTTCCAGAGAAGTTCATAGAGTGGATCATGGAATGTCTTACAATAGTCTCTATTCAATCACTATCAATTGAGAGTTGAAAAGGGCTTTTCAAGCAAAGAACAGATTGAGATCATGGAATGTCTTACAACAGTATGTAGAACAGTCTCGAAAGGCAGCATTTACTTTAGTTCTATGTTTCTCATACTCTTCAAAAATGTCGATGGGTGTGTGTCAGATCCTCCAAAAGTAGAGCATTTTTGGAGGATGCGACAGCATTTTGGAGAGTCCGAGCAACATAGCTTTATTTGGCAAGAAAGGAATTTGAGAGTCATCCAACAGAAGAGATGAGCCCTGAGGTGATCATACGTTGATAATACAATAATCCATCAATATAATAGCTATGAAACCAAAGCTAGCAGGAAGAATCCATCAATAATGAGTGTTATGTTGTCATTATATAAAAATCAAAGTAAGATTCTAAAGACGAAAGATAACTGATGATTAATATTGCATATAGATAGTCAAGAATCAAGAATATCTTAATAATTAAAGTAAAACTATTCTATAAGAGTATGCACTAGTTCAAGCAAAGTAATACAGAAATCAAACATTACTTCAACTATTTTATATGTGAAAACCATAGCAATAATAGTTAAAACATATGTATTTAGAAGTAGACCTGCCAATGACTGGCGACATTTTCTCTTGTTAATCCAGGGACTTTCATGTGTTCATGAATCTTCTTTGGCACAGCTTCTATATGAAAATTGAGGTAACAAATTATTGGCAATTTAACATTCCTTTCTGTTAGACACCTCAGAAAAACTCTTTCAATAATGTGAATACACTAGCAACAACAACTTACTGTCAAACCCAATGTTTCTAATGGCTTCCAGGAATGCGTTGTGAAGTGACTCTGTCCATATAATCTGAGACTTTGTTGGTAGAACAAAATTGACACTGTTATCTTTGCCCTGTTTCCCCAGTTTCATTGCAGATTTCCCAGGGACAGGTTTTTTACCTCTCTTCACTTGCAACGCTGTGCACAGCCCTTGACCTCTTTGATCGTCGACTGATACACCGTTTAGTCCTTTCAAGATTGTACCTTCCTTGTCGTCAACTGACATCGCTGGCATTTAGTACATAGCTTAAATCATAAACTTGTCTCTAACAACCAATGAATAGAACACTGAACATTTTACGGAGAAAAAAAAATCGGAAAAAAAAAGAAGAAGAAATCAACTCACATAAAACAGGTATTTCAAATGCTTGGGTTATCACTTGTTGAAGTTCAAATCCATTCATATCAGACTTGTGCACATCAGTGACAACGAGATCAAAAGAGTCGCCTTTGATCTTAAGTTTAGACAAAGCATCTATGGGATATTTGACAGTCACAACTGGAGAAAAACCAAAATAGTTTATTGATTAGATGTATTATGAAGGGGAAATGACAAACATTCCATATAGAAACATTTAAAAATCCAAATACCAATATCCTACACTACGTTGCTTATAAAAGCTCTGACATTAGGATTATTAGCCAAAACAAGGGAACTACTTTTTCCATACATATGCTGATGTAAGATCTATTATTGTGGTTATAGTAAAGATAATTCCATAAATACAGATACACTTAATGTTCTTATCAGATTCATTAAATTATTTTTTCTGCTTCGCGTAGTTCTTGTAAAAAAATTCTTACTACAAACCGAAAAAGAAAAAAGAAATTTTGATTTGATAATTCTTACAATATCATAAGTTAAATAGAAATTAGTGAAGTGGGGGAGTTTGAGAAGGGTGGGCAAGGGCCAAGGCCTATGTTGATGATCTGAGAACATTTCAACCAATCTATTGATAGACTCCTCTACATCTTTCACTAACAATAAAAAGGACTGAGAGTAACTATGTTCAAAAAGTGGTCTGTCATTGTGATTCCTCTTCATTCTTCATCAAGTCAAACACACATCGGATCCAAAGAAGATCTAACAAAGTAAAGTGGAGCCTAAAATTAATTGTTCCATTTCTTATTCCTAAAAAGGAAGTATAAACAATTTTGGTACATTCGATAGGTAATTTGAATTCATACATCATGCTACTTGAAGATCTAAAGCTTACCACTTTCAACTCTAGGATCTATCAAATTAGGGGAAGAAAAAAGCAATCATTGCATTCCAGAATCCACACCAAATAGGAAATGAAAAAAAGAAGACGACAAAGACATCACCAAAGATTTGGTATAAGTACCTTGGTAGTTGCATTTCTTGAGTAGCCCAGCAACAACCGGAAGAAAAGTGGCATCATCATCCACCACCAAAATGCTGATTTTTTCAGCAGTTCTGAAAGACATATGTGTCTCAACTTCCATTGGTAAGCAAGGCTTGAATCTGCGGCAAAGATTTAACCTGTTAATGTAAATAAAGATCTATCAGGTCAAACTGAATAATGACAATCGCCACAGATGTTGTAGATAGTTTTGTTCAGAGCAAGAAAGGGAAAAATTTATAGATAGAGCTGTCAATATGGGCTGATTCAGCCCATTCGGGGTAACCCATACAAGCTTTGATTTTACGAGTCAGGCCGGGCTGGCTCATTATTTTTGTGGGCCAAAAAACAGTCAGCCCAGCCCATCATTATGCGGGTTGCAGCCTACGCCAGGCCAGCCCACTTTTTTAAAAGAATATATTTTATATAACTTAAATTTTGATTTAAAAAATGTTTAAGTTTTGATTTAAAAAATGTTAACATAAATATCGACAAGATAATATTACATGCAGGGAACCACCTGTACTTCTGAAAGTGCAAAAGACATTGCAAACCAAATTTCTAAGCTAAAGTCAACAAACCCCCCTTCAGAGAAAGCAATGTTGACAAATAAGACAATATAAGGCTTTCGTTACTACAGTGTTGCATCTTTCGATAGCTATAATGAATTAGATAACATGCAACAGTTTATTGAATTTGCATTTCGTCAACCCACCTCAGCAATGCAACTTTATTGAGATGACCAACAAATCTATATTCAAACGTTGATACTCAATCTGATATATGTCAACCGACCATTATAGAATGTTGATCTCGTTTGGATCTTATGCAATACTGAAACTAGAACAAGAATGTTCCAATAATAATATTGGCCAAACTACATAATATTGAAAAAACACAAGTATATCATAAATGTATCAATAAATAAAAAAGGAGACAAAAAGGAAAAGGATCATCAGCAGGGGAAGGGAGATTTACTAGCTAGTGGCGACCACAAGAGAGGAGTGGTGAGCGGCAATGTTGATGGGGACAGGGGGAAAGATCGTTAGATCTAAATGGAGAAACTCGAGCAAAGGATGTGGTGCAGTGAATGGGGTTGCTCCTCTCTTAATCAAAGGTCTTGGGTTCGAGCCCTAGGTATGGAAAAATCCTTGGTAGGGAGCGCTTCCCCCCGATGGGGCCCTACACAGCGCAAATCCGGAATAGGCGAGCTCCAATGTGGGTATCGGACACCGGATAGGAAACCAAAAAAAAAAAAAAACTCTACCAAAAATCACTCACAAGTACAAATATTTTCCTTTATTAGAAGTCGAGCTCCCAACGACTGACCTGCCAAAAAGTAATGAACTATGAAATAGTCTTCTGACAGTCAGGTCTTCAACTAAAATTAATTCGACTGATCACTGATGGAAGCCCTAAAAATCTTTTATTTGTCAAGAATTTTGACAGACATATTCCTACCAAGTACCAACAGAGAAGGAAATATCCTCTAAAACATCTTCCTGCAAAATGGTGCAAACAATCTTTGATGGATTGCAATGCCCTTTCAATCGAAAAACAAATCATATTAGAAATTAAGAAAATTAACTTTAGACGACTTTTAGTTGATGTATATGTCGATGCCTTGACAGCTTCTTGGTCCATCGAAGGCCATCAAAAAGCGACCAATTTCTTGAAGTGTGAAATTTCAAGGCATAAACTGTCATATGAATAGCATTTTTTGTGCTGAGATGATACAACTCGACCTAAGGTAGGTGTGAAGGACTGTCAGACTGTTGTTAAGGGTCACACGGGGTAACCTTTGACCACAAAATCCAGTCAATCACAATCTAACAGAGCTCAACATCTAATCAGTCACATTTATTCTTTGAAAGAACCTAACTGGAGCAGGAAATCCTACAATGCAGATCTCTCTAGTAACCAAATCACCATGTATGGGTTATCTTGCATTCAAATTTACAGCTAAAGATTACTTTGATAACTTGGTGTACAATTGTAGATTCACTCTAATAGTGAAGTTTTAATGGATGAAACCTTAATATTGGTGCAATTAGAAAAATGTTGTTACACATCCCACTTAGAGGTTGTTTGGTACAAGGGACAAGGGAAAATAATCCTGAGATAAAATGCACGATTATTTTATCCTGCATTTGGTTAGGGGTATTAGTTAGTCCCTAGATTATCCCACCATTTGTACTACAATGATGGGCTAAGTTATCCCATATATATAGTGGGATAACTAATTCCCCATCCCCTATACCATACAACCCCTTACGGTTAGTGTTGTTCATCCGTTCTAAAATGTAGACAGTGAAAACAAGATCATTAACTAACTCTTATTGCATCACATATGAGACCAGAAGGGCTATCCATTTTATATATAGAAGTCACGAGGATCATCGTTCATATATTACTTCCACGTCATCAAATATAGAGTTCTCCTAGGAAATAGTGCTAGAGCAGTTTGAGCCCCCCCTCTTGACACTATAGAATTTTGATACAGTGTAATCTATAGACGTGTGTAACCACACAAGAAAAAGGTTAGTACTTAGTACATACCGAAGTTTATAATGCAACCAACAGAACCAAAGAACCCAGTCCCCATCAGAGAAAACATGTTGTAATAAGGTTGCTTGAGATCATCATCATCAAACGTGTGCCCAATGTCTGCCATGAACTCTGCAGCAATTGAAGCAACAGACTGGACAGAGTTAATATGTTTAGGAGCATCATCTATTTTGGGAAGATAGAAGTGAGAAGGTGGGACAACATGAAGCAATCCAACACCACAAAAGCAACTGGGCCATAAAAGGAAAAAAAATCCAAAGAATGACTGACTACATGGTCAGCAGTGGAAAAATAATCATCTCTTTAGATCAAAAAAACTGGTGGGGATTATACTGCAAGCAAGATGCTTATAATAGATTCTAACGAAGAAGCAGTCTATCGGATGTCATTGTTTCCGCAAGAGAAGATTTACAGTTTTAATATATGAAATAATCTCCGCGTCCCAGCTTACAACATCCTCTACACAAAAAATGAACTAACTCAACAAGTTGATGAATTCGCTTCGACCTTCAAGTAGAGAGATCATATTAACATGCTTGATTGACAGTGTAAGAAGTGTTGTTGCACAATACATTGAATTGAGAAACGGGCAAGTATTATGGAGCTGAAATTATCAAAAACTTGATTGTGGTAAAAAGAATATAAGCATCACACCCAAATCTCATTACAAAATCTCTAATATCTCATCTTAGATCACCTTCAAAGAGAATCAATTCTACAAATTAAATAGCTAAAACAAAACCTAACAACTTCATAAATAGAATATAACCATCAATGATCAAACCAAACAGGAGACAATGTCGAATAAAATCTCAATTAAACCAATAGTAACACTAACACCTTCTTGTTAACTATCGTCTGTACTGTTCTGATGAATACAATATTGATATTACAAGAAAAAGTACTACAAAAAAGTACTACATGAAGTAAAACCTTCTTAATTTTGTGGCACCGTTCGAATTTCGAGAGTCAGGACCAAACTCGGAAAGCAATGGAACATAATGAAACTCTGCTTCTGCAAAGCTGCTAGAAACATATCAAATGAGTAATACATAGCTAGATGATCGATAACAAACCAAAATTACACCATTAGTGAAGCCATATTGATGAAAAATCTATATTTTCTGCTCGGAGATGGGTTGATAAATCCAGTCGTACGGTGGCGGTGGGGGGTTGATTATCCGTCTCCGGCCAAAAATTGTGCACTATACCAACCAAAGCAACGGAAAAATGCCAAAAGTGCCCTTATCTTTGTGTATAAACTATCCTTCAAATTTCTCAAAAATTAATAATTTAGCTTATTTGGTTGAGGAATAAGTAATATCGAGATTAGTTATTTCGAAATTGTTATTTTACTTTTGATAGTTATCCTACGACTTTACTACAATTAAATATGGGATGAACTCATCTTAAAATGAATCTTGAGATTATTTATGTCTTATCTCACGTATCAAACGAGCTGGTTTGGTATGAGGAATGAGGATGACAGTTTTGGAATAAAATGTAAGATTATTTATCTTTATTTAGTTAAGGTCTTAAGGATATTAATTATTAGTTCTGAGATTATTTACCTCATCATTTATTCTATAATGATGGGATCAGTTATTATATTTTATATGTGGACAATTAATCTCATAAAATATCTCTATTTATAGAATAACTTTATTTATCTCATTCTGATACCAAAGTCTACCAAATTCACAAGTTAAATTTGATGCAAACTATGGATCATATTTAAATATTTAAAAATATTTAGTAATTTTTTTATTATTATATATACAAGGTAATAATAATACGAATAATAATTGATTTATATTTAAATATTTAGTGAATTTATTATTATTATTATTATATATATACAAAGTATGAATAAATATTACAGTATTAAATTCCACAAATCAGTCAATTTTATATTATTCAAATCAC